TGATTCCATAATCACGTTTCTTCTCCCGCAGTTGTGGTTCTGAAATTTGAAAGAAATTGAGTGCTCAGATGAGCTAAGTCAGAGGAAGAGGCAGTAGAACTAGGTAGCTTACAAGTTCTGCAATTTCCTGGCGGGTATCGTTTGCCACAAGGATGGTCGATTGTGGTGGAGTACAGCAAAATGGCCAGGCTCTCCTCCTCCTAAGGGAAAACAACACTTGAGCACTCGCAGTGTTATGAAATTTTCATTGCTACCCCTCCCAATTGGGATCGAAAACTGTATTTCGGTATTAGACTTCCAAGCCAGCCTGGAATTCTCACTAATAAAACATGATTAAACATGATTTTCAGCTGACTATGCCAGACAATGAAGTTGAAGCGAATATAATTGCTGTGATAAAGGCTGCATGTGCACACAGGAGTGCAGCATTAGGACCATTTATCAACAGGTTTGTTTGAGTCTTACTTCTTTGTACTATAAGTATGAGAGTTTTTCGGAAAAAGCGAACGATGGATCTGGACGGTTGTTTGGTACTGCAGTAATTTTCTTTTTTGGCTTGTCATTTATTTTTCATAGAAAATACTCAAATATTTTGCTGTAGAGCTCTGTTGATGACGATTCCCGGAGAAGAACATTATGCGCTCAACGTGGACGATTGGTTGCCTGTTCCCACAGAGGAAGAACTTGAAAAGGTACGATGAAGGATTGACTTTGTTTCATCCAACAAGAGCTCAACCATGCTCAGGCGATTAAAATGTAAATTTTCCCGTAATAGCAGTGGTGTCTTTTGGAGCAACAACGCCTACCGGAGCCTTTGCGGACCACATTTCGCCCTTGGATGGGGAGTATCTGCAGGTTTGTTCGCTGCGGATGAAAAGGCGTGTCAGGTGAGTTGAGTTTGGCGCGGTACCAAACCCGTTTTTCACCAGTTGTTGGAGCGAGCAAGTGACTGATGTCTACCCGCTTCAACAAGTGGTGGAGAACCGGTCTGGGGCCACGCCAGATCATCACGCCTTATACGCCCATTTAATCGCAACGAACAAGGGTGTACAGATTTGGACGTGAAAGTGGCGGTGGTAGACCATTGCCTGCCATGGTAGGGCTATAGACAGTGAGTGCATGAGACCCCGTTCATTCTTGTGAGACTGAACAGTAGGAGAATGAGCATCAAAGGAAGTGTAGGTATCGAACTGGCGAATCAGCAGAAACGGAATATAGTCGTAAGCAAACCAATCGGAAGGAATGTACCCGAGTAGTAGACGGGAATCGATTGACTGCATTCTTCAGTTTCGCTATTCCCGAGGTTCGCGGGCGACCGGATTCAATGAATACCTATCCAGTAATTTGCACGCATCTGCTTGAAACGTCTAATCGCCGGTTCTGTTACCCTTATCGCAAAGTATGAAAGCAGTCCGAGAGAGCGCGGGGTCACAAGGGAATGTCGAGGTTACTATCGTCTTTTTTGCCTGACTCGGCAATTGTATCTTGCTGGCTCTCGCATAAAACTCTGTAGACAGACCCGTCCAACGCCGTTATATGGTCCACCGCATTCTGTAAAAAACCCTCGTCCCCGAAAAAGGTCCGGTCAAAAATAGGCATGGCATGCCGTCAGTGAGCGTCACGTAATCTACAATGTTCAGCTCGAGAAGCGTCGCAATAAGAAAGGAAAGAAGAAGGAGGAAAAGAAGGAAGATGACGATGATGAGCTTCTGACGGCTGCTGCATAAATGTAGTAATTGTAAAATTTGTTAGTAGATCAATAGGAGATATATTTAGGACTAGTGAGTTTATCGTTCCCCAATATTTCGTTAGTATTGTCCTCTTTCTTCTAAATTTGTATACAGATGTTATTGCGATTCTATGAAAAGTAAGCATCACAGAAACTATTCTTGTGAGATTGTTATGCTCAAACTTGTTGTTGTTTACTTTTTTCTGTAGCGATAAATGTAAGATATTGTTCTTCTAATAAGAGGTGACGTATTGACTTTGGCCACGGATTGACAGGCTCTTGGGGACCCAAAAAGCAATAGTTTCGATTATTGTGGGTTATCACTGCTCCTGGCAGTACCAAAGACTAATGATAAACGAAAATGTCACTAATGTGCACATGCCGGCTATCTTTGTCGCTTTTCCTTTCATAGAGACCTTTTTTCAAAATTGTTAGCTATTGTTAATGCAATGGCGCCGAGGCTCGGCTGACCTTCCTGGGCCATAATCCGCTTACCATAATACGTGGGACTGCATTGTTGTACCAATTGAATAAGTTCCTTATACTTTCGAGATTGATTGTTTTTTGACACATTGCCGACAAAAT